AAATAAATAAATATTATTTATAAACATATTTAAAAAAAGAAATTGTTCTAGTTAAATATTGTTGTCTAGGTAAAAAGAAAACAAATGGAGAACTAATCGGAAAATCCCTGTGGTGTTACAAATGCCCTATTTAAAATGAAGCAAAAAAGAAAAAAAAAATCAAGTGGGAGAGGTTTATCCACAGGAGAAAAATGCTTTAGAAAGGGTAATAGAATTGTTTTTCTCATGTCCCAGGTTAATTACACTCAGAAGCGCTTGAAATGAAGGAAAAAAAAAAAAAAAAAAGTTTTTCAGCACGCTCCAAGCAAGCACGCTCCAAGCAGGCAAGTAAGCCTTAGTCTGCACTGCAAATTAAGTGCTCCCTTCCAGCCCTATAAAACTGTACTTTAAAAGTACCTGTGATGAAGCAGGCTGTGTGCTGACTTCAGTAAAGTATACTTGCTGAATCATAACCTTTGTAACAAACTTCACAAGCAGGCATTACTCATGCAGGAAAATGCCTGGGGTTCCAATCACCTCGTAGCAGTCATGGCTGCTTGGTTCTGCCAGCGAGGAAGCGGGTGAGGTGCCTACAGGTTAGCGTTGTAAGGGCATGCTCCTTTGCTTCCATGCTGGTTTGGGTCTGCCTACACTGCAAACTTTAAAACGCTAGGTAGGAGCTGCCGGTTCTGGAATATGTGGTATTAAATTCACTAGGTTTTGCGTTTATGCCATGAAAGCTGTAGGTGTGAGTAAAGGTTTTAAATTGCACTGGCATCAGCAGATGGAAGTCTGTTGAAAACTTTTTAAAACGATGTAATCTTTTAAATATCTTTTTAAGTTAAATTACCGGATAATGGTAATAAAACTATGTAATGATGCTAAAAGTAAACGTTTTTCTTGCAGTACCTAATATTATTTTTATTATTTTTAAGGTCTTATTGTTGAAATTGAGTTGGCTTAATTTTCCTGAAAATAACTGAAGGATGAAAGCATTTTGTCAAATTTTGCTTTGATATCTCACTGAAGTCTTCAAGAGGGCAGCTAATGCAGCAAACAGGATGCTGAAAGAACACAGAAGGGTGTGCAAGTTGGGTGGAATTTTCGTAGGTAACTGGTTTGGGTCAGCTCCATGGTTCCCCTACGTTGCCTGTAGTATGCAATGAAGTGAATCATAGCGGCACTGTGCAGTGGAAACGAGAGCTTAAATTGCATTACGGTTGCATTGGTCCTTATTTTAACGTGACACCTGCCACGGGCTTTATAGAAATTAAAGGATACAGCAAAGAAGAATTAAAGATCTATCTCCAGTTAAAAAACAAAACAAAAACAGAAAAAGAAAAAAAAACACCAACAAAAACCCTCTAGGCTGCTTTTGAACTCATAAACTCCACCTGAATTGCTTTTCTTTGTAGCTTATTATGTGTCTATGAACACAGATGAGATACATATGTTTCATAGTGCTGTTTATCATAACAAAACTCCTGGGATTTAAACTAGGATAAAACTGACCAATAGTAAAATCAGTGCTGCTTTACTGATACAATAGGAATAGCCTGGAAAAGGAGTAACTGTTTAATTAAATTTCACTCTTCTTGTATATTTTTGTTGTTGTTTCCTCAACAAACTGCTGGAGCTGAGAGTGAGTGGAAAAGTGTGGTTTATTATTCCCTTTTCTCAGTATCAAGCCACTTATATGCCAGCTGGTATAAAGTTAATCTTTGTTATATGCTTATTGCTATTTTCTTGGAACACAAGGACATGAAGATTCATACATCTAGATCCCTTAAAGCATAATGCTTCATAATGGCCATAACTAAAATGAGTGCCTGAAAGATTTCTCTGAAAGATTCTCTATTATGATCAAGCGTTTATATTTTCTATCTCCCTAATGTCTCTTGTGGACAGTGGTGTTATACAAATTGGGAGGAAAAATTATAATAGTTTATTTGGATCTATCTCATTTCCCTATTAGGTTTATAAAGCAGTTCTTTAGAATAGCCTATCCCTTTCGATGAAGTTGGTGGTTGATGTTATGCACTAATTATGACACAACAGTGCTCAGAGGTCCCAATCGTGGCCTGGACCCTATTGTACTAAAAGCTGTACACAAGCATGATAATCAGTCATTAAAACCTAGTATTTTAAACCAGCAAGTCCCAATGTGCTCTGTAAGAGAGGTAAATACCATTATTCCATTCCATACCATTATTCCCATTACCATTTGGCAGATCTATCAATATTTCCTAGCTTTCTGACTTTATGCATTTAGTATTATTTTAAGGTAGTTTATCATTCATAATGAAATTTTCTTTTTAAAAAGGCAAATAAAAAAAAAATTTCCAGCACATGGCACTAGGTTGTCTTCCATACAGCTCATAAGTAAGGTTCAAACATTTCTATCCAATGTAAGAATTTCTGACCATTAGACTAATGGAGTAGCTGCTAACAGGTTGTCACCCACAAAAGCATCAGACATTTTATTTGGCTTCACCGCTATTTGCTGACTAAAGAGGAGACTGTGGGATCTTGAGGTCCACTCCAGACTGTGGGGGAGATCTGCCCTCTTGCATACAGAGCTGCTTGCTTCCTTTTCCCAGCCTGCCCCACTTTCCCCTTTTCCCATTTTTATCTTGCCCCACTCTCTCTGCTCCTTGCGATTGCCTTCTGAGACTGCTTCCAGGACACATCCTAGTCTTTTCTGCCTGGTTCTCTGCCAGGCTCCCAGCCTATCTGCCAGGCTCTCTGTCCAGTCTGTCCCAATGTTCTTTCCTAATCCTGCTGCCCCCAGGTCTTGTCCAGTCTGCCTGCTGGCCTTCCTGTTTGCTCAAAGACCCAGTATGCCCCTCCAACTACCTTCCTTCTTCTTGAGATTGGTAATATATTCACACCTGTGTGTTGGCACTTATTTACCCTATGCATTCAAATTTAGCCACTTCCTTCTTGTGTTGCCTTGACCCAGCATGGAAGTTACTGGAGAACCTGTAGAGTTGCAGAGGAAGTTCTGAGCAGGTGTATTAGAGCACATCTGATCCCTAGGTAGTTTAGCTGCGAAAACTAAGAAATCTTCATCTAGATTTCCAAAAATCTGTTGACAGGGTAAGGTTTGATCGACTAGTGTTAAATTCTCCTTTTGCTTCATAAAACATTTGAGTTTATTTTAGTTGAATCTTTCATGTCTCCCTGGGCTTATCATTGTCTCATTTTTCTAGCATCAGCCAGGTGAGAGAAAACAGGATAATCTTCTGCTGGTGGTGGTTCGCTATCGTCAAGTGAGAGATCTCAGTGATGTTACTTGCCTTGAAGTTGCATGCGCTGTAATGCTTTAAACCCACTGAATAGCTAGCGCTCTGTTTCTGTAGGAGTTGAGTACCACCCATGTTGCAAATGGAATAGTATGTGTATTCCTAGTCAGAAAGAAACTGAAGATACTTAGCATATTGGGGAGAGAAAAAAATGTTAGATGATAACACACAGTTTTTGTATTTATAATACTGAAGTACAAGGTGGCAATATATTCTTTTCCCTGTGCAGTGCTCTATATGTGAGATAATAAGCGTAACAGTAAGACCATGATATCGCTATCCCAAAGTGATGTGTGTAACAGCTTGAATTCCTGGCACTTAGAACCAGCAGGTTCCATTTTTTCAGGAAGCACAGGTTAATCAGGAAAGTAAGGGAGCTTTAATCCCCACATTAGCACAGCCAGTGTGGCACATGTTTCCATGTCACATTATCAGGCTGTGTCATTCCCTGCTGTCCTTGAGGAACCCTGAAACTTCAGAAGTCTGTGATACTTACTGGTCCCTGATTTGTGAGTAGTTTCACATATTTTAATTCCATTGGTATTCTTCCCAGCAAAAATTCATTTACGTATTTGAAAGTATTTCCTTTTCTTTCTGGTACCTTGCCTGTTGTCCTGGTTTTGGCTGGGAGAGAGTTAATTTTCTTCCTGGTAGCTGGTGTAGTGCTGTGCTTTGGATTTAGCATGAGAGTAATGTGATAACACACTGATATTTTAGTTGTTACTAAGCAGTGTTCACGCTAAGTCAAGGACTTTTCAGCTCCCCATGCTCTGCCAGGTGCACAAGAAGCTGGGAGGGGGCACAGCCAGGCCAGCTGACCCAAAGGCCTATTCCATACCATACGGCATCGTGGGCAGTATAGAAACTGGGGGGGCTGGCCGGGGGGCAGCGATCACTGCTCGGGGATGGGCTGAGCATCGGTCAGCGGGTGGTGAGCAGTTGCATTACTTGATTTTCCTGTGTTTTGTTCCTCCCTCTCTCTTTTGTTTTCCTTTGCATTACAATTTATTACCATTATTACTATTACTACTATTTTTATTTTATTTCAATTGTTAAACTGTTCTTATCTCAACCCACAAGTTTTCTCGCTTTTACCCTTCCAATTCTTTCCCCCCCTCCCACCGGGGGGGGGAGTGAGTGAGGCGCTGTGTGATGCGTAGTTGCTGTCTGGGGTTAAACCATGACACCTGTGTATGCATTTTCTATATTTAACGAGTCAATTTAATGTCAAGAAATACTATGTTTACACTATACTCATTAAAACTTCTTGTGATTCCTTTATTAACTAGTACACTGATTTTTGCATAGCAGAAGTCACAGGACATCAATTGGATTTAATTAACTTTATTTTAAATTACAAAAGTAATGACAGTAGACAATACTGTAGCATGTTCATAAGTAGTAAAAGCAGTGCTTGTACTGTTACATTATTAAATCTTAATGAAACTATTCATAGCAGAAATTACATTTATTATTTATTATTGCGGGAGTAGAAAAGCGTGTCTTTGCAAATCCAGGATTTCTCTTTGTTAAAAGAAGATTCCGTCTCTTCCTAGAGGTGTAGTCAGAAGACAGTGAAAGGCCATACAGGTAGCAACCTTTGGGGTTTGCCTGCCTCTCACCACATGGACTCTCCCCTACCCGTGTTAGAAGAAGATAGAACAAAAGGTGAGTCACAGAAGCCCACCTGGGTACCGTTGCCACCAGATGTATGCTACATAAGCAGCGTCATTTACTGTTTGCAGCAGGCATCTCATAATCAAATTTTCTGGCACCTCAAAACTTGTAAGAATTGTGATGTCAAATGCTGCAAAGGATGGAGATGAACTTTGGACTACTTCATGTGGTAGCTAACTTAGGACGTAGCATATGTGATGTTGAGCATCAGTCTCCCCGAGTCAGTTATCTTGTAACTCACAGAGTTCAGTTGCTACTAGAAAGAATTGTGTGTGATGGAGGGTTCTTGTATGACTAAATGATATGGCCAAAAATAAACGGGCACGATTAATGTCTGGTTATTACTCATTCAATCTTAACTAGGTCTACACTTGGACTATTTTAGCAATCAGTCCATATTCATGATTACAGTGTGGTTTACAAGAGTTAATTCTCATCCGTTCATATTAAACTGTCATTGTGTACAAGCACGTAATTCCTTGTCAGAATCAGCACTGTTATGATGTTTCATGTATTTGCTGACTTTTATAGACAAAGTTCACCTTCCTTGAAGGTAGAATGTGGAAAGATAAGGATCTTTCAATAAAAGAAAGCTGCTGCTTTTCTAGTTTTGAATTGGAATTGGAAGAACTTGAGTCTGCCTTTGTTTAATTCTTTCTTTATTGTTACTAATTCTTTTTCTTTCACAGCTGGAATGTATATGAATTGTTCAGTAATATCTTCTTCTAGGTATTCTGAGGCTAACTGAACAGAGGCTTCTTCCTCCAGCAGCAAAGATAACTCTCCAGACACCTCCTGTTGTATCCAGAGTAGCTCCTTTCCATGAATTTCACAGGCAGCACAAGAAGTCAGCTGTAGGTGAGTGTGAAGGATAGATAACAACCGTCGAGCGCATCTCCAACTCCACTTTCAGGCCCTTGTTTTATCTCGCAAGGAAACAGCTGTCTAATGAGCTCTCACTCAATTTCTTAAGAATACTAAGAGCATAAAGATGTACATGAGCATCCTGTGTCTTGTAACTGAATGGGAATCGGATTTCTTAATCCCCGGGAGGATTTGGTCCCTCTTCATTTCTGAAATCCTGGTAGGTTCCTACCTGCATGTTTCAATTTCTAAGCGCCTGACTCTGAAGATCTGACCATTGGTGTTAGTGTAAAGCCAGGGTTACTGTAAGTCATGACTGACATGACTTACAACAGCTGATCGAGCGCCTATTTTGCCAGTGTGATTAGATGAATGACTCCTAGTAAGTGAATATACTCTGGGCAATGGGATTCTGCTCTATCACAAAGTGTACTCAAAACTGTTGCTGCTACAGCTGCTTGTGGCACATAACATCAGTAGGGAAGGGAGTATAAGCAAAATGAGCAGTGGGCTCAGTAGCAATCCCATAAATTTGAAAAGTTCTCCTAATGAAAAGGGGTGGTTGGAAACTAAAAGTATATGTGAATAACCTGGAATATAAAGAATATAATTTTGACATTGTTATCCTGGGTATATACTGTTGGCTGGCATATTACAAACTTCAGAATATGATAGATCAAAACTGAAAATTGCAACCCACTTGGACATGAGAGCAAACTGGAGCACGCCATTACCTAACGGTGGGTGGTAGAGTATCAATTTGATGCCGCTGTTGCACTTCCTCTGACAATGAAACCTGTGATCCATTTTTTTCTTTGGTACAGGAGAGATTAGTAGTAGGGTGGACCCTGAGAATACAGACACCATCACCTTCCCAAACTCAAAGGAAGCAATTTATGACACACGTTCCTCTAGTAAAGGTGACATTGCACCGCTTCCATCCAGCAGCTCCGTGGTTTCAGCAAGGAAGTCAAAGCCGGCGTGGAGGTATCCAGCTCAACAGTTGGGATCTGAGCTGCAGATTCCCTCTCAGACACAGGTATTTAGACAGTGAAGATAATGAGGTTTTAATTCCTGTTTTTAATACTGTCTTTACCAGAAATGGTTTAGGACGTGACTGTAAATCACTGAATTGGTACAAGAGGGTTTGAACCAAAGCTAGTAAATAGTAAATATTGAAGTAAGTAGGAAATACTTTGTATATTGCCAGTTTCTACTTTCTCAAGTCTTCTACCTAAATTTGTCTGCTTTTTCACAGAATCTTAGAAAATAAGTCTAGAAAGGATGTTACGAGGTTATCCAGACCTTCAGGCAGAATTACCTGTACCGGTACTATTGCAGACAGATGTTTTTCTAACCTGTTCTGAAAACTTTCGGTGATAGCAACTCCATAGTCTCCCTAGGCCATCTGTTCCAGTGCTTAACTAACTATCTTTACTGTTATAAAAGAGTTTTTTAATGTCTCATCTAAATCTCCCTCACTGCAGTTAAGCAAATGTGGTGTTCCCTTTATACTTACAGAAGACTATAGGGGAGTTTGACCTTGACTGCTTAATGCTTGCTGATTGTTCTTGATCCCTGTGCAGAGGGGACGTTTCTTTCTTTTTATGGCTAATTATTGTGTTCCATAGCAAACTGTCTGGGGTTTTGCTTGATCTTTCCAGACTTTTTGACT